AAAACAAACAATGAAATGAGACATAGACATAAGAAAACATCTTAAAAAGAGTTCTGTTCCAGTGCTTTGAACTTTGCATGTGAATGCCCAGTAATTTAACTTTTGTTAAAAGAAATTTGATTTGCATTAATCGCTGTGCCTTTGAATAGGGCAGTGCATAACTTAAAATGTTACTGCTATTCTACCACTAGGGGGTGACAATGAACATTTTGGAAACATGGATAATAACCCAAAAAGACACCTTGCTTTTACAGAAAACTATATGTATATGTGGGGGATTTCAATGGTATTTGTTAATTAGTAAGTATTAGTATTAGTGTTACGTTTGGCATCACAGACCAGAGAAGGAGAGCAGGTAACTGGTTGAAGTGGAGGCAGTAGTCAAGTCACAAGTAGGTGGACTGACCCCAACAGACTCTGTCCCAGATGCTGCCGTGCTCCACAGCCTGGCCCAGATGTTTGGGCTGCTGGACTGTGTGAAGCGAGCCCTGCAGAACCGGAGGAGCCAGGCAGGCCAGAACCAGGAGCTGCTCCACAGCACATTAGTGGGTGAGCTTCCCGGGCTGGGTGGTGCCACGCACACAAAACACAGCAGGCTGGGAATTTTGACCTTGACGGCTTCCCTATGACAGAACTGGAGCGCCAGCTGGAGGAGCAGAAGAAGCAGGCGCAGGACTGGCGGCCCCGCTCCCAGCCCAGCGTGGCCCTTGTGCCGCTCGCTGGCTCCTCCAAGCCCCCGGCTCCCAAACGGCCCCGGCTGCAGCGGCCTGCCTCCACCAGCGTGCTCAGCGTGTCCCCTAGCCAGCAGCAGGTGCACCAGATCACCGTGCTCTCCCCCATCACCATGAGCTCCGCAGGCCAGTCATTCAGCATCGCTGGGCTGCCTGTGACCACGCTGGGCCAGCTGCCCGCCGGCACGCAGCTCGTCACCCGCTATGCCATGGGCGCAGGGCACACCAAGGCGGACTCCGTCACCCTCCACCCCTCCTCCAGCCTGACGCTGCTCAGTGCTGCCGCCATGGCCAACCAGGGCCAGCTTGGGCCTGTGGAGATCGTGCACCTGGCTCAGGAGGCAGAGGCGGGCAATGGTGAGGACCAGCAGGGCGGGTCTGCCGATGGGGAGATGGTGGGGGGTGCTCTGCTGGTGCAGGAGGGTGTCGGGGGAGAGGAGGAGGCACAAGCACACACCACTGTCATCGAGATTGACCCGGCGCCAAGCGACCACGCCACGGGGGTGGTGGGTTTGCGGCTGGGTGGCGAGGCTGCTGTGGTAGTCCAGGCCGAGATGGAGGTGATGGATGGGGCTGAGGCGGAGGAGGAGGGTGGAGTGGTACTGCAGGGTGGGATCGAGATTGTGGGTGGGACTGAGGGCAATGAAGAGGGCGGGGTGGTGCTGCAGGGCGGGATGGAAGTGGTGGGTGGAGCCGAGATCGATGAAGAAGGCGAGATGGTGCTGCACGGAGGAATGGCGATGGTGGGTGGGGCGGAGACGGATGCCGGGCTGGTCGTACACGCAGAGATGGAAGAGCTGGAGCATCAGGAGCAGCTGCACAGCGTGGAAATCGTGGTCATTGAGGACGAGGTGGCCAAGTGAGGCGGCTGGAACACCGCTGAGACCATGGAGGACAGGCAGCCGGGAGAGCGGTGACGCTGTGGGACGACGATGATGGCCACCGCTGGGTCTGCGCGAGAGCAGGGCCACAAGAGGGCGTAGCATGGATGTAGCATGGCTGTCACATGGCTGCTTATTTTTCTTGTTTTTACTGAACCACGAGAAGTCCGTATTATTTCAGTGAACAAATTTGTTTTTCCGTTAGTTGTATCCCAGTTTTAATTTACCATAATTAATCTGTACTAACAGTATTTTTTGTTGTCCTTTCCATCTTTTAAGCCTACTTTCTGCCAGGCTGACACATTTAACTTTTTTGGCTGAAATGATAATAAAGCAATGTGGTCCCTGTCCTGCCCAAGACCAAGACTGTAACACACCACCTGGGGTGGATCAAGAGGGTCATGTCCCGACCAAAGTTGACCCTTCATGTTATTTTTTTTCTAGTGGAGTAGGGAGTGTTCCAGAATGTTCAAGAGCTGAGCAGCACCTTTCCTATCATAGTGAGGCTTTGTGAGGATTGTGGGCTCCCGTTTGTGTGACATGGAGGTCCCCAGTGCAGATGAGCCAGCACTCTGTCAGCACGTTAGGAGAACACACCCATCATCTCCGTCTGTTACATCTCGTTAATGGTGCCAGCGAGAGAACAGACTGACTGTTAAATAAGTCTGCAGGTTTCTTGGGATGTTTTGGCTCATTTTTAATCAGTTATCATGCTGGTGATATTTTTTCTATTCAGTGAGGCTTTTTTTTTTTTTTTATCAAAATGAGATTACTTTTCTCTGCCCTATGCTTTGTGTTATCTGCAACTGAACAGGGGAAAAAAGCTGGTCATTTTAATTTTGTGGACATGTAATACATATTTCAGCCAGATGTCATATTTAGTTTTTTTTACAAACTTCATTCTTTAGGCTTTCATTTTCCATATATCCATACTGCAGAATGCCAACATCCGTCCTGTGTTTGATTTTTAAACATTTAATAACAAGGTTTGATAAGACTCCTGTGAATGTTAGGCCTACTTTAAAAACTGTGATCTTACACACTTTACAGCTAAAAGCCATGTTAGATTGTCCCTGCCAGTTAAAGACAAGGAATGATTTATTGGAAGTCAGGGCCCTGGAACTCCCAACTCAAGTTGACTGTGGTTTGCTAGTCTGTCTCTTACGAAAGCTTCTGGTTTGTCAGTCAGATGATATGTGGGAGGTTGTGATTGGCTTTTGAAAGCTTTCATTGTTTTGCTAGAGACTTATCTGCATGGTGCATTTCGAGAAATGCAACCCAGCCAAGTTTTTGACTTTTGTATGCTGGGAATAATGCGAGGCAAAATACTTTGCTCTTTTCTTCCCTTCATTTTTGTTCTGGAAAAAAAATGTCAAAGACACCAAACTTAGTTCCCAGTCGCCATATTTGGTTTAAGCTTACTGTGAATGCTGCAGGAGAGCGCTGGTATGGTGATGAGCCTCAGGCATTGAGTTGTTTGTGAAAAGCTTCTTTTGTGCCAAGTCTTGCTGCAGGGCAGAGCTGTTGGACCTTTGAACAGTACTTTGCTCACTGCTCTTGACAGTTTAATAAGTGTATCATGTTTTAGGCATATACGCCAAGCATAATCCATTAAACGCTGCAGGTCAGCTTGCAGGACACCACAAGGTCAATTTAATTTGCTGAAAATGAGGCTTCCCTTTCACCCTTCTCCTTCAACCAACAAAGGTATTGCAAGCTTTTGTATAGAAACACTGCAGCAACGGTTTTCATGGGGGAGCAGGGGACACCGTTTGAAGTGCAGTGAGCCCAGAAAGAGAAAGTTTGTAAAGCCCAATTAAAATTAGAGTATAATCTTCCCCTTGTGTGAATTTATTCCTTTTGACTTTAATGACTAACTTTGAGGTAAGGATGGGGAACAGGTTTCCACCGAAAGCAACATACTTCCGATTTGAGCTGACATTTGTGATGGTGATAGCCTGTTTCTCAACAGCACCATTTCAGTGAACTCGGCAATGGAGCCTTTGCGGCTTGAACACTCATGTTACACAAAGAAGGCTTTTGAAGTTTCTGATCACAGTGGCAGTCTGATTTTTAAGTAGGTCATGCTGATATTAATGTTTAACATGGCTGACGTGTGCTCAGAGATGTTTACACAACCAGTAAAGCAAATACATAGTGAAACCACAAACAGAATTTTAACCAAACACATTGGTAAGTATGCTGAATGAATGTCTGAAGAAACCAGATTCACTTTTAGAACATTAGTGGCAGTTTGACTCTGCGTAAGTGGGCCTGTTATTTAAATACAAATAATCAATGAATCAAAGATGGAAGCCGTTGCAGGATTCACTCAGATTGCCATAGGTGGCATTCCAAGAGTATCTCAGCAACTTCATGGTCCTTGCTCTCCAGATGTCTGAGAGGCTGAAGTGGAGCAAGAAAACTGGATCAGTCCTTAATAAAGACTTCAAGACCTTCACATTCTGAGAAAAAGAGTTGTGCATTTCTACCAGAATACCAATGACAGTGTATTAGGGTATACTACGACCAAACAGAAGGTTATGAGTTCAGTCAGAAACATCATCAAAGATCAAACTGCCATCCATTGACCATATATACATTGAACACTCCCTGAAAAAGCATATTTTGGGACCTGAACCACCCTGGGCATGAGCTGTTTCCACCCCTGGAGGTTTCACAGCGTGTGGTTGCTGACTACCACATTTAAGAACAGTTTCTTCCCCCTGATTTTTTTGCATCATCAATAGCTAAATATGGATTCCTGCAATTTTACCTGAGTCTGCATTTTATTTGAATTTCAATGTGTAATGTTTCTTTTTGAGGCATCATGGAATGTCTGCTGCCTTTTGCTAATTAATTTGTACGCTGCTAGTTGTTATTCTGTTGGGTGTTGCTGAATGAGTAAGTATTCCAATGTATTTGTTGCACGTAACATTTTGAATTTTGACTATAATTATGTCATAATACAATCAAATTCTTACTGGCAATTCATGTTGCTATTCACCAATCTGATTGGCTCCTAGTAATTTCCTTGTGTCTCTAGCGTCACTCTGCTTCTGCTGGTGGGTGCACGTGTGTTTTAAGAATGGTCCTGAAATTGAAAATGCAATCATGACAAAAGCAAATGAATCAGCCTCGGGTGGATAGTTTGATGACATGCTGTTGGTAATAAGGTGTTGCTCTGTCGGATGAAAACACTGTGATGATGTAGTACTGTGAAAAGTGTTAAGGACAAACTTAAGAAGTTAAAAACGCACTTACTGACCGCAGAGCAATTGTATTTTTCACAACGAATCACATTTTTTAATGACGGACTTGTTAAGTGAACAGAGAGGAAATCAAGACATAATTTATCAATTATGTCAGGTGAAAGGTGTTCCTTAATAGTAAATCATCTGTACCGTCTGTGGTGTTGAGTATGCCATCCGTGGCATCATTGTTACAGACTGCAAGAGCAATGGCTGAATGTTAAGACCCGTCCTCAGAACTGCAGACCATAGGTCATTTCCAGCCTACGGCTCTCGTGCGTGACCAGCTCCATTCCGCTGAACCTGCCCGTCTATGTCGCCTTTATCTGGTAATCCCCTGGGTTAAACATGACTTGTGGGACTGGGTCACACCCAGGAGACTTGGTGTTTATTGCAAAAAGACAATCTTTTGTCTCGGTAATCCATACGCTGCATTTGCTATCGTTTCGGTATTAACATTTTTAATATTTTTTTTAAAATTGCTATAATGTTTGAAGGGCGAGAAGACGGAGCTCTGGAGGATTCTCTGATTTAAAGTTCTATCATAAAAATCATTTCCTCCACTAGATGGTATCATAGAACCGCACAGATGCCAGAGGTGTGCTCGATGAAAAGCCGTAGTCTGCATTCGTGTCTACCGGTGAGATTCAACCACAGAACCAAACTGCCAAAACTGTATAATTATACGTTTTTCATAAAACGACTTTGACCCAGTCAACAGGATCCAACAATTGTGTAATTACTGTCTATTTTAAACCTCCTCTCATAAATTACTCAGAATCTGATAATGTTTGTCCAGTGCTTTGTAGTACTGGAATTGTAGTTTAGGCGTATACATAGACTACAAAACACTGGAGAAGTCATCGCATCTTGATGTGTGTTATGCTAAATCTTCTGCTCTGCTATTTGCATTCCGAAATAAACTCCAGTGCACAGCGATCGCAATTGGATATGCTAGTTATGGAACATGCATGGATAATCAGCTACGAATTGGACTTGTGTAGCAAGGGGAAACACGTTGGAAACCAGTCTCACTCACGGAAAGTTTGAGAAAGATGGTTTGCAGTCGTTGGCACAACTTGTCCCTGGAATAAGGCCCGTTATTTGACCAGCTAAGCCCTAAAAATACGCCAGTTTTTACCCTGCTGATGGAGGCAAATCACTGGCATATCGGAATACAGTTATCTTCGTGTTTATGCCGCAGTAAAGCAGACAGCGGCGAAGCTTTATGCTTAGATCCGTCATCTTCCGACGGCTGAAGGTTTCACACACATCTCACTGTCACCTCCATCGATTTAAAACGCATTAAACTGATTTCATTGCCTCTTTCATCGTGTTAATACACCGCTAAGATAGGACTCCCCGTCGTGCGCCAGAAAAATTGAAGTCGTGTCAGATTAGCTAAACTGATCTGTCCTAACGGATTATCGTACATGTCAACACAGTTGCATTGAATTGGCTTTTCACATTAGTGAAATTTCTTTATATACACCAATGTATAACAAAAATCCCCCCCAACCCTGTACTGGATAAGCGATTGAAAGTCTAACGGCTTCCAACGGTTTTTCCCAATAAGATTTTTCCCTTTATAGGCCTACTGCACTGCCGAGTGCTGAAAGGTACGGAAGCGCTGGGATTTTGTATGACTTGGCTGGGGATCGAACCCACAACCCTTCCTGTCCCTGAACTTACCATGAAGGTATCGGGCTTCAGCCACTACGTATAAAATGCGGCATTTGAGATGTCTTTTAGCTTTGCCGATCGTTCTTTTGAATTGCAGCTGCACAAACAGCAGCAAACCCAGGGCTAAACAACCGGGCGCCTGCCGCTCTGGCTTTATTTCTCCTTAACACCGGAGGCTCAGTTCTCAGTTCATCCCGACCGCCTGATCCCTAGAGTCAGTTATTGGATTAATCATTACGCTAATCGACCCAAATCCGCCCTGTCTTTCGGTTCCTGGGGTAGATAGTGTTTCAGAAAGCGCTGCATCGTGTGTAAAGTAGCTTTGATTGTCTCCTAGTTGTGCTCGCTTTTGTCAGTGTACGCCCCCATCTTGCAAGGTGTCTTGACTTTTTATAATTTGCATATTCATACATACTTCCTCAGCCTTAATGAATACATGGAAGTATTCAACCATATCACAGGAGCCTCCAGGGCAGAAGCGAATTCTCCACCTGTCTATTTACGGTTTAGAGAAAATGTTATGTTCGTTCTCCTATTATTTGATGTACATGCCACAGTCATTTAAATGTTTTTAAATCCTAATTGTAATATGAAATGGTTATATGAAACTGGCATTTTTTGACTTTGAACCACATTTTGAAATTCCCCTTTAAGGACCTGGGTCTGCGAGCATAGGTTTGCGTTTGAGACGGTGGGAGGCCTAATGATTTCGGAGCTTGTTCAAGGCGCTCGCACTGAATGCTGAATTAAAAAAATATATCCAGACATACAAATGAGATATTTTTTCTTTCCATGTAGAGCACCCAAAATAAGTGCATCTGTCTCACAGATAAATAATATCACGATGAAATAGCAAGACTCAAATATCTATTATAATTTTAATGTAATCAGAAAATATATTTTAATGACATTTATTAAAGTGTTTACGCCATTTTCCAAAACATTAATTTTATCTAACAACCAGCACTAACATTAAAGGCCCCTTCTGTGAGAAAGCAAATAAAGTATTTGTCCAGCTGTAAAGGCATAATGAAATACTATAGTAAAATACAAAATCATATCAACATTTGCAATAATGGAGAATTCAAAACCGACTTGTTTTCATGGTGTTTCTTGCTTCTTGGACTGGAACACATTTTTTTCCTTCTCTGATATTACCTCCATTCCCTCCATAATTACGTGGGAAGGTAACCCCTGAGTTCAGCGACACGTGCTGTCTAACACAGCCCGGGGGGGTGGGGACGCGCCGCCCGTGCTGCGCAGAGGGTGGGCGGGGCCGCGCGTCGGGAAAGCACTCCGGGCGCGAGCCGCACGTTCCCCGTCCGCTGATTATGGATGGTCGTCGCGCGACGAACTGTAGATCTCAGAGCGAGGCAGCTTCTAGCGCTTGCGGCGCTTTAACGTCACCGTTACCTGCATGCTCTGCTCGAGCGAGAGCAAGAAGAACAGAGTTCTTTGTGATATATATCTATGAGAATATACATCTATGATATAAATCTATTTCATTTTTGCTTCTTATAGGTCAAGAATGAGGACGTTATCGGAGGTAGTGCTTGTTTATGGCTGTAAAAGAAGACCTTCCCGTAAAATAAATGTTTGTATCTAGATGTTGTCTATTATGATTAAATTGGAATTTTTTTTGAAAATAAAAAATACAGGCAAGGTAAAATGACTATGTTGTTACATGGAGGGTGATCAAATCTCCGCAAAAGAGAGATTTTTAAGTCCTGTTCAGTTTGGATAATGCCAGAGGGTGTGCACAGGCCGACCGGAAGTGGACTAGCATACAGATTAGGTCAGAGAAGATATTTAACATCCAACTTAATGCAGGTTTAACGTACAGTATATCATGTTCACGGAAAGATTCCATTTATACTGCTCGATCCACTCTGAAATGGTACAGGTGCGGATTACAGGAACCACAGCCTCATTGTATCTTGTCGCAAGTTAACCTTTCTGCGTAGCCCGCTGGTCATGATAAATTGTGCTAGTGATAACAGTAATCTGCCCTTGACAATGTCGTTTCCATGATGGAAGAGGGATCTTATGCCTTATGAAACACCACTAATTATGCTCTGAGAGTTGTCAGCGACATTTGTTTTGCAAGGCAAGCTGGAATTCAGAATTTGTCGGGGATGTAGGAAAAAAAAAGATATGATAGAATGTAACTATGAACAGTGTGGAAACGTAGTGAGCAGATTAGCTGGGTGTTGATGGATCTAATGTATGTTTTTTAACTGTAGAAGGGCACACAACCTTTAAATAAATAAGCGAATCTGCTGAGATTCTGAACGACACGTGTGCATATAAGCAGCCAAAGCAAATTTCAGACTAAAAAATTGATTCTGCCTCTACAGTAAATACACACAGATTACACGTGGCTCTTTTTTCTTGGATGTTCTGGGTGTCTTAACACTGAAATGATTTGTGTTTTTACCCAAATGCAAATTTCAAGAAACACATGAAGATGCATAAGGTTTTATTAAGTTTTAAAGAAGATTCCAGAAGGTGAAACCATATTCTTGCCTTTGATCTCTGAATGGTTTACACAGAATTACTTTTAATTCAGACAGGTATGCTATCACTGATTATCACATCCGACATCAGTTTTACAGCAATACACTGGAACCCACATCTACTGCCTATCATGGAGCCGTACAAACATTACTTTGGAAGAATTTCCTGCTGTTTTGTGCAATTATTTATGCAATGTATTTAATTAGATACCTGAATCTATTTATCTGTTACCTGAATTTGATATTTTTTTAGTCTGGTCTATAAAGCAAACTTCTGAAAAGCCAGATTCAGTATATTCATAGCATCCAAGGTCATCAGAATCTTCTGAGCATCAATGTTCTACACATATTCAGAATAAAAAACAGTTTAGTCAATGGCCTATGATATTCAGCCAGAATCATAAGATACAAGTGAATCATGTAAACACAACAAATATTGAGGGTCCACAAACACAGTGGTGACCATTACTAATCACAGTAGAAATGATTTGCCAGTAATTATATCAAGGACATCCACGATGGACCTGCTGCACAATAAGTTTCACATACGCCCATTTATTTTGTCTGCAAAGCTTCCAGGAGCTTCTAGGCCAGTGCAGGCAAGTGGAATATGAAGATCCACTGATGCCATCCATCCATCCATCCATCCATTGTCCAACCCGCTTATCCTACTGGGTCGCGGGGGGTCTGGAGCCTATCCCGGAAGCAATGGGCACGAGGCAGGGAACAACCCTGGATGGGGGGTCAGCCCTGATGGCATCTTTTTCTTTCTTTCTTTCTTTCTTTCTTTCTTTTTCTTTCTTTCTCTTTCTTTCTTTTTGCCTCATTCACCAAAATGAGATTACATGGAGCTTCAAAAATAATATACATATGAAATTCAGTTTTCACAGATTCAATTAAATCTAGAGGCACAATGTAATTTATACTACAGAAGACTCATAGCTGACATTTAATAAAACATTGATTTTATTCTGTTTTATTTTAATACATGGAAATGTCTTTACCTTAATAGCCAAATGATTAATTATCATGGTAGTTGACAACAGATCATGTGAACATTAACAGACATAGGGTTAATTTGTTTGTTATTTGATTTGCAATACCTGGTTTAAAATTAATTATTTAAATGCACACTATTCATAACTTTGAGTAAATGCCTTTAATTGAAAATACCTTTCATTAGCATATATGCAGGCTTATTTTTCGGGGTGTTCAATGACGACACATCTGTATTCCAGGCATTCTCAGATCACTATCATTTCCATGGGCAGAGAGTAAATCGATCATTTCTTGGAGATCCTAGGAAAGATGCCTATCTGAACGTTTGAGTAGGGAGTTGTTTGAAGACTAGCCTCATGAAAAGATAAGCAGGCCAGATAGACCACACGGTGCAGGGAATCATTGTGTGGTAAAGCTAGCTGAAGTAAACAACAAACACAAGTGAATTAAGACATGTCACAAAAGGAATGCCATAATTCTTCGCTCCTGACTTTGTGTGGTTGCAAAGACAGATGCCAGGACATGTTAACAAAAGAAAAAATAATAGTACAACATACTGAAAAGCACAATTACAATCTATATGTATTTATATACAGTGGTACCTCTGTACTCAAACTCATTAGAATTCGAATTTCTTAAAAGTTGAACCAACCAGTTTGAAAAAAAATGACCTAGAACTTGGTCTAAATCTCAGAAGTTAAACCGTTAACGCCGACCTAAGATAACTTGTATGTGCGGAGAAATGAGTCATGCGGCACGTCTCTCAGATAAGGGTAATGCTTCAGTCTCAGCCACACATTTGCTGTGATAGCATCGTTTGTTAGTGATAATACTTTTTTATTGAAAATATCAGGTAATACACTGTACTTCATTTTGGTAGCCATTGCTCACGAAAAAGTTACAAATGTTACAACCTAAAAGTTTGCAGTTTACGAACAAATTAACGAATACAGAGTAATAATAAAAATAAACAATGGACTGCATGACATAGTATAGTGTTGGCACAGTGTTGGGGCATGGCTTGGGGTAGTGTTGGGGTACATTCTTTATCATTTTGGAAGCCGTTAAGGAAAAAATGTTACACACGGCGTACAGTGTTGGTGCAATATTTGCAAAAAATTAATACTGCTAATTTTTTTTTCAGGTTAATCTTTTATTGGTAGGCATAAATGTGCTTAGATGTGTTTAGTATATACTCTTCTTGTTTTATCTTGTACATTTTGTGTTTAAATGCTAAAAAAAAAAAACATTTAGGTGTAATTTTTTGGGGCCGGGAACCAATTAATAGGTTTTCCATTATTTCATATGGGGAAAATTCAATCAAAACTCAAACTGTTTTAGGATTCGAACCCGAGTTATGAATGGATTAAATTCGAGTTCTGAGGTACCACTGTACTGTATATTCTATCCAGTCCTATCCTTGCAATCGGAAAATTTAGCAATAAAATGCGTAGATGTACATTTACATTAAGACAGGGTTAATGCATGACAAACTGTGCATTATACATTTTAGACACAGCTGTAGAAGCAAAGAAACACCTGAAACCGAACAGAGGCCATTACACATGTGACTAAAATGTTTGCACCTAAACACATAATTTTTACGTTTATGAGCCAAAAACGCATTGATTAGTATAAATCAGTACTTTTTCCCACTAATTAAAAAATTTGCTTAGTTTCCAATTATTTTAAATTGTGTTCTGTGTCCTGAATTTTAAATACTGTTAGTTAGAATTAAAGATTATAATCGTGCATTGATTTACTACGGTGATTCTCCAGGCTGGCACTGCGTGCGTAGAAAATTAATCAACACCCTTATGACCAATCAGATTTGCGAATTCAACAGCGTCCTGGTATAAAACAAATGAGCTGTTCTGAAGCATTCGTTATATGACACTGGTTACATAACCTGCACAGATTTTGCATCTGTGAATCCCAGCCCCCCATGTGGGAGCAGCCCAGGTGGAACCAAACACTACATAACCTTGGCGTTCTTCATCTCGAGCCAATCCTGTTTGGCGGATTCATTGAGACCTAGAAAATTCGGAGGGTGAGGTGGTTTCAAACGCTCCTCCTATGCGGTACTGCGGAAGGAACATCTGCTACAATGCGACCATCCGATTCCATCTACTCATGGACATTACAGCATCCGTCAGCAAGCTGCCTGGCAGTGGCAGTCCTTGTTCTGCTTTTCTGGGACGATTCCGAGAGTCAGCTGTCTGTCAAAAAGGCGACCGGTGTGAAGAGACCCCTGATCTCAGGGGCCGGGAGCAGAAGGCAGACGTGTACATCACCCCAGAGAGCCACAACTCGCACGGCAATAGCTCGAACTTTCCAATATCGCATGAGGTTAAGATAATCCCTCCCTCTGCCTGTGATCCTAGAGGGATTCTTTATCACCTCGTTTCCATTTAAAAGCGAATAATTGGATTTTTGTTGATGGCACACTTTTAACATTATAAATTAAAATTCACAGGGCAGGTAAATGCCACATGGGAGCATGAACAGAATAAATGATGGTGTTTATTTTGACCCTGTCCTGTACTACATTTACATTTCGTGTTTGTGAATTCCCATTTAATTAGAAGTTCATGCCTGAAAAAGCTGCTTTAGGATGAGTCCTTTGTTTGAAACCTGGGGGTTTTGAAGCTTTGTGCACATAATGCATGAAGGTTTCTCCGCTTCATGTCTTGCATGGGTTTCCTCTGGATACTGGGCGTCCCAATTGCCCGTTGTGTGTCCTGTACTGGATATGCACCCCCAGTCCCTGCTGTCCCCCTCCTTATACCCTCTACTGACTGGGACAGTACTGCTCCAAGCTAGGTACCTGGAAGATGGATGCATGGTATTTACCTGGTTTCTTCTACATATGGCTGTGTTTCCTTTGCCTTTCTTGGTGAGATATCAGTGGCGGTTGCTGGGCCGATGGTGTTCCCATCAGACTAGTGGCCTGTGAGGTGTGTCTTTTAATCATGGAGAGGTCTGGGGTTTGTTTAGAAGCTTCCCCCCTCATATCTCCATGGTGGACATCGCTATGTTTCATGCTTTGTGATTTCTTATTTACTTTACTGGGAAAAGA